TTTCTGAGCACCTTTCCGGTACGCGCTTTTCCAAGCCAGTACCGGTTTGTAGCACCAGTTCTCATTATTTGGACTTGAAACTCGTTTTACAAGTCCTACATATCATTCTAGTAATTATTATGCACTTATATTAATTTTCCGGGATACTTTTTCGGCACGCATTTATACCGACTAGCAGAACCGGTATCTGCACTTTTCTTCCGAAAAGCGACTTTCAGCATTATTACTCACTTACTATAATTATTTAGGGCTGGCAATATGGGCCAGCCCGCCCCGGCCCGCCACTAGCCCGCCCAAAATGGGTTGGCCCGTCCCGGCCCGTTTTGACAAAATGGGTTGAATTGAGTAACCCGGTCCATTTTATGAGTGGGCTGGCGGGCTACGGGCCAGCCCGCCTTAAGTAAAAAAAATATAAAAATAAAATACAAAAAAATAAATTCTGCATAAAATCACATAAAAAATTCTGCATGAAAGCATACAAAAATCTGCATAAAATCCTAATATGCTTATGAAACCAAGAAGATCAGTGTTTAATAATCTGCATATAAATATGCATCTTTCAATCCAAAAATAATAATAAAAAAATAAAATCATATCAGGATAAAATAGAGTAACAAAACAAGTAACAAAGTGTTGTATGAGCAGTCCACAACAATTCAAAAAAGCCACTTGCATGCAGAGAAATCTAAGATACGGAGCTACATAACAATTGGGTAACCTAAAAAAAAAGGACTTGGCAGGCTGACCCATATGGGCTGGCGGGTTTGGCGGGCTGGTGGGTTGAAAAACTCAACCCAGCCCGCCCCATTTGGCAGGCGGGGCGGGCTCAGCCCATTTTGTCGGCCCTATAATTATTAAAGCCTCATAATAATTATTAGGGTCAATTATGGAATCATTTCCTATTTTCTCATAATTTATTAATTAAATTCCTTAATTAACGGTGCGGGTTCTTACACTGATTATGCTTGGATGCTGGATTATGTCTGTTGCTATTATGCTATTAGCTCCATATTATGATAATGTTGTTACTGTTGAGCTGTGACTTTGTTGGGCCTTGTTGCTTTATTTGGTGAGCATGGGGATTGTCCATGCCTTATTGATTGACTATGCCTTAGTTAGAACCGAGTTGTATTAATGTATCAGGATTATGATCCGAGCTACGTGTTGTAGTTCCGTGATTTAGATACACACCGTCATTCTATATTATGAGGTTTCCCAGTTAGATGTTGAATTGCAATTTACATATAAGCAATGGTTTGAAAATGAATTAAGTAATTCAACTTGGTAATGTTAATGACGTCATAATTGAAAATAAAAAAAATACTCCGCATTTTAATTAAGCGCAACTTAATACGATGATATGATAACATTACCGGATATATACGGGGTGTTACAGACTCCACGTAAGAAATTGGAAAATAAATCGTCAAGATCTTGGATAAGAAGTCGGGGGTCCAACCAACGAAGGCCCGCGATGACACATGCCGACCAAACAAAATACTATACAAACACTATACAAGGCCATCAAGACAAATACTATATTCCATGACATATCAAGTCTGGTTTAGACAACTTTATAAAAGATGTATTTTATGAGGGCCAGATAATCTATACCAAATCTCGGTTGGCCAACCTGCGGAGTCACACGGGATCAGACCGCTCCAAGATGCCCTGAAGCAGCGGGGCAGCTAGCAACACTGTAAGCAACCCAACCTTTGGACCAAGTTCAGAAGCTTGGCTATAGCCTCGAGCTCCAAAGGCCCTAAAGCAGCTACGACAACAGTGAACTGCAAAGAGCTATGTACAGACTATTACTTTTTCAGTAAAAGGTGAATTATTCAAGAATATTTTGCGTACACTTTGATATCGGCAAATCGATTCAGGTTCAGACTTAAGACCCCTGAATAGAAATTAGGGCAGTTAGTGAAGACCCATGATTGAACGTGTCGGTCCTAGTTTGTTCGAGCTACAAACCCAACACCTAAGAGCACCTCATAAATGCGATATCATTGGCTCGAAAAGCGCTAAAGCCAAGGCATTACCATTCGGACGTGGATAATAAATGGGATAAGGGACAAAAGGCAACATGCTGAGCCTAAATCTTTAAAGCTCCCTGGAAAGCAGTACAAGATAGAGTCTCAGTAAAACAAGCTAAATTCACAAAAGATAAAGCCTCGACAACACGGGGTGAGCTAAAGCAACTTTAACAAAAAGAATGGCAAGATGCATCATAAAAGCATGATAGAAATTGAAATGGCCATGTCAAAGAAAATAAAGGCCAGGAACAAACTCGACAACGTATTTCACTACACAAAAGGGGGCTTAAGCCCCCACAAAAAAATGCATGTAGAGCGACTCAAGAACGCCACAAATATGTCAAATAAGGATGGACCTAGAAGCGTCCGAGATGCAAGAAAACTATTACAGCCCGCCAACCTGAACACTCAGATTATCGGACTGGGAGCAACTATTTTGGACCTATTCTATGGGCTCATATCTTAACAATATAACAGCCAATGATAGATTAAAGTGATATTATCCCAACAGTAAGTTAAGGATAATCACCATCATCCTATCCCAAATAATCACACTCCTATCAGGACTCTACACCTACAGGTAACCTCTTATATAAATAAAGGGTTAAACCTCTCAGGTACACACTTTAGACTTATTTTACTTTATTGCCATAATTGTGCACACACACCCACGCCTTGGCTATACGCATGTTGTTAGTGTGCAGTGATTTGTACATTGGCTATATGCGCGTATGATATCCCACTCTCATAGATATCTCTGAGCGAATAGATTTGTCACCTATACGGTGAATATTCACGGTCCACCTGAACCGAACAAAATTTAAATTATACAATTATTATTAGTAAGAAAAATTAATCAAGTCAACCCTCTGACATGAACATACTCAAGGATTTATGTAAAGTTAATTGACATTTTTGTCTAAATATAGTGTTATTTATTGGCCCATGGGCCTGAAATACAAACCTTGACAAATCTTTTTTTTTTAGTATAAATCTTGACAAATCTTTACATATTACATAATATAAAAAGATTGGAAAAGATTTTTTTCAATAAATATATTTAAAAAAATATAAAAACATCATTATTATTAACTTATTTTAAAATATTATAATTTTAATCTATCAAAATTTAAGAATATATTTAGTCTTATTTATTCGCTTTCGAAACAATATTAATTTAGAGGGTTTCTAAGTAAATACTATATATATATATATATATATATATATATATATATATATATATATGACTTGATGTTTGTCCTTTTAAAAATTATATAATTGTGTTTTTCTAAATGAGAGAAAGAGACATACGGTGAAGATCATAGGAGAAAATGTGTATTTTTTTAATTTTAATTTTAATTAAAAAAATACTAATTTTAACTAAAATGGCTAGACTTTTTAACCCTTTTGCCCTTCATTAATTACAAAAAGACGTATAATCGATTAACCCGTGGGGCTTAATCGATTACACAGTCAAAATAGGCATAATACATTGATCACATGATTTAGTCGATTACAAATTTATTGCTTCATCAATTAAACAATGTCAGAAATCCTATATTAACATGTTTCGGTCTTATTTCACTTATACATTTTTTTTCACCAAAATCTCTTTATTTTCGTCTCTAATCCAGCTCATCAAGAGGCTATTTATCCAACCATCTCTAAAGCTTTAATCTTGTGAAATCATTATCATTGTACTTACATATTCCTTTTTTGTTGGAAAAATCTGAACCCAAACCTCGAAAATTCGAACCTGGTCCCAATTACATGTGAAAGATGAGCTCAAGTTTAAACACGTATGTTATAGTGATCTACCACGATAAGAGGCATTTTGAAGGTCCCGATGGTATTCAATGTGAAGGAAAAACGAAATGATGAAAATCAAATGCGACATTACATACAACGAGCTCAAGGGAGGAATTCACCAAAAATTGGGACATGATAAACAGAAGTAACACATGATGATTTATCAAACAACAAACATAATCAAAACAAAACAAAAACGAAAAATAGAAATCAAATTCAAACCCAAAATAATATATGAAACCTAAACCCTAGACTACATACATAACCCTAAACCTAAACTAAATAGCCATCAAACCGAAGAATCAGATCAAAACACACAATCCAATCGAACCAAACAATAATGAGAAAAACTAGGGTTCGTAATAAAAAAATGAAGAAAATAATGGTGTAAACTGATAACTACATGCCAAAACATGAGAGGAATGAGAGATTAATGTTGTTCTGTGAACTCACCACACGATTAGAGGAAGAATTTGGGCAAAATCACAAATGGAGGCTTAGGGTTTGCTCTTAATCGATTGAGTCTCGTGGTTTAATTGATTAGATAGAGACAGATTGGTAAAATATTTTGAGTGAAGGAAAAAATGGTTAGTTTTATTTAATGAAGGACAAACGGGTCAAAAAGCCAAAATGGCCATCCTTTTAAAAGGATAATTATTTTTCAGAGATAGATATATATATATATATATATATATATATATATATATATATATATATATTCATACTAAAAAAAGAAGGGAAATACTATTCTTATGTCATATGTGATAAAATTATCTCTTACACACTGTTCGATAACTGTGTCACCTTTTTCTTTTTTCTTTTTTCTTTTTTTCAGATGGTGGAACCCACAAATTTATTTCTATGACATGAGATAACTTAATTCCTTTAACATGAGATTAATAAAACCAAAAAAGAACCTGATGAAAGTACTAAAAAGGAAAAAAACCTGAAAAGATATTAATTATTATTTTACATGGTTTGATTTTTAAATGGAGCAGGACAGGGGAGTGATGCAAAAGGAAGACGTGGCAAGATATTATTGGACAGTATCACGTGGCACATAAAACCATTGGTTGAAACAGCTCGAAGGAAGTGTGACGGAGATCTATAAAATAGAACCTAACCGCCTTTGAACAAGAGTGGGATTTAGTTACTATTTAGAACTCGAATTAACAACACTTAGATCTTAAAATTGGAAAGTTTTTCGAGGTTAGGGTTTCACCGTGAGAGTGACGGAAACAGTGTAATATGGGAGAGCGAAAGCGAATCCCTCTGGGGATTTTTGTGGTGTTCCTCTTCATTTCTAGCTCTTATGCTTCCGACGATGCCGATGACGCGGTAATAATTCATCTTCTCTTTTTTATTCATTTCCGTTTTTGTTTGTGTGTGTGTGTGTGTGTGTGTGTTTTGGATAATTGGATCCGATCCATGTTTTTGTGACGCTGTAATTGACGAATTGTTGTATGTGGATGTGGTTTAGATCTTCTACGAGTCATTTGACGATACTTTTGAAGGCCGTTGGGTTGTGTCCCAGAAGGATGAATACAACGGTAACTACGACAAACTCTGTTGTTTCTTTTGGAGGCTGTTTGATTGCATATTATTTACCGTGTGATGAAAACTGTGTTGTTTTAATTAACTTTTTTTATAAGTTAACGTTGTTCTTCCATTGGTTCCTTGATATTGTTAATTTTTAAAGCGAATTTTCTTACGTACTTCATGTCAGTTTTTTATCAGTCTATCCACTCTCTGGCGTAGTGGATGAATGTCACTCAACTTATTCACAAATAACTCTGAAATCCAAATCTATTGAAATTTTCCCTGTAGTAGTAGAAGGACTTGTATTGAAAATCTATTACTAAATCCAGAAAAGAAAAATACAATGAATATATTTGCTAGATACATGATTGGATGGAATTGAATAATAATCTCACTAAAATTTATGATTCTAGACGAGCAGAACCAATCCTGGAAAGTATAGTGGCAGGGGTTGTCTTAGTCCTCGTAGTAGGAGCAATAATAAAAATAATATGGCGTAATTACATTTTCTTCCCTGACATTAATGCTTATAACAAATAAAACTCTTCTTTTTTGGGAAATTACACTTACCTCCCGTATTTCCTTGTGACATTAGAAGTACTTAAAAGAAGCAAATAGCAAATGTTTTTTGTATTCTCAATGAAATGAATACTTTATTTTTCATTTAATACTTTTTACTGTTGCTTAAGCTAAGGGCTCTGTTAGCAAATCTCTAATTATAATTATATTGATAGTAATAAAGAGATTGCATTAGCAAATGCTGAGGATCTCTTGTGTATTAAAGAATGAACCTCACTGGCAAAGACTGTTACTTCGTTTTACACGGTGTAAGTTAACCCTCTCAATTTTAATAGCACTTGCATCTAATTAAATAAATTGTTAGATGCAAGTAGATCAACGGTGAAGATTTGACTGAGTTATTACTCCTTGCGGATGTAATGGCCGTCATTGACTGAGTTTTTGTGTTGACTATCAAAATAAGAGTCAACTGCATACATCATATTGTGGCAGTCGCAGTCCAACCATATTATATAGGAATGGATAAATCATGAAAATTGACACGTTGCTAGTACTTTTATTAGGCAAACTATCTTTTCCTTATATTTTAGTTTTGGATTTCTTTCCCCGTTCATGCTTCAGTTCATTAGTTCCTGTGGTAGTGAGGTGCATATTTGAAGCAGTTGGATGAAGTAGATTAATATTTTGTTTTTGATTTGTTTACCTGGTATGATGAAAACACAGAGGTTTGAACCTTGCACACCTTTTGCAAATTATCTAAATTCCACTCCAATCATAGTGGCTTCATACATAGTATGTTCTTGCTGAATTTGATATAATATGTGATCTTTTGTTTGGGTTCTAGGTGTCTGGAAGCATGCCAAGAGTGAGGGGCATGATGATTATGGGCTTCTTGTCAGTGAGAAAGCAAGGAAATATGCTATAGTAAAGGAACTTGATGAGTCTGTGAGTCTTAAGGATGAAACGGTTGTTCTTCAGTTTGAGACTCGCCTTCAGGATGGCCTTGAATGTGGTGGTGCATATATAAAATATCTTCGACCACAGGAGGCTGGATGGAAACCCAAGGAATTTGACAACGATTCTCCATATTCTATCATGTTTGGTCCTGACAAGTGCGGGGCCACAAACAAGGTGCACTTCATTTTCAAGCATAAGAATCCCAAGAGTGGGAAGTATGTTGAACACCATCTGAAGACTCCCCCATCTGTCCCGTCTGACAAACTATCTCACGTGTACACTGCTATTTTGAAGCCTGACAATGAGTTGCAAATATTGATTGATGGGGAACAGAAGAAAAAGGCAAATTTCTTATCTTCTGAGGATTTCGAGCCTCCTCTTATCCCTCCCAAGACAATTCCAGATCCCGATGATAAGAAACCTGAGGACTGGGATGAGAGAGCGAAAATTCCAGACCCCACTGCAGTAAAGCCAGATGACTGGGACGAGGATGCACCCCTGGAAATTGTTGATGAAGAAGCTGAGAAACCTGAAGGATGGTTAGATGATGAGCCTGAGGAGATAGATGATCCAGATGCAACCAAACCAGAGGATTGGGATGATGAGGAGGATGGCGAATGGGAAGCCCCAAAGATTGATAACCCGAAGTGTGAATCAGCTCCTGGTTGTGGTGAGTGGAAGAAGCCAATGAAGAAGAATCCAGCTTATAAGGGGAAATGGCATGCCCCCCTTATTGAAAACCCCGATTATAAGGGTATATGGAAGCCTCAGGATATTCCAAATCCTGACTACTTTGAACTTGAAAAACCTGATTTTGAGCCTATCGCTGCTATTGGTATTGAGATTTGGACAATGCAAGATGGCATATTGTTTGACAATATTTTGATAGCTAAAGATGATAAGGTTGCAGCGTCCTATCGGGAGACTACATGGAAGCCCAAGTTTACCATTGAGAAGGAGAAACAGAAGGAAGAAGATTTGGACACTGGATCAAGTGGTCTTGCAGGCCTCCAGGTAATGTCATTTTGCAGTTTCCTCTCTCTCTCTCTCTCTCTCTCTCTCTCACACACACACACACTTCTCCGCCTTTTAACTCTCCCACTTTCTTCTTCTGCCTTATTTTTACTTTCCGGATTTCCTCCTCCCCTACTCCTCTTTCTTATGCGTGATTTTTCGTTTTGACCTTGCAGAAGAAGGTATTTGACCTGTTATACAAGGTCGCGGACATTCCCTTCCTGAGTGACTACAAGCTTAAAATAAATGTAAGTAGCTAAACAAATGTCTCTTCTTTCTAAACCTTGGTACCCGTAATGTTACACTTGTTGCAATATGACTTGAATTCCATCCTTCTCTGCAGGATCTCATTGAAAAGGGTGAAAAGCAACCAAATCTCACCATTGGAGTCCTTGTAGCCGTTGTGGTTATCTTCTTGACATTTTTCTTCAGGATCATATTTGGTGGGAAGAAGAAGCCGGTGAGTAGTGAAACTCATTTATCTTTTTATATTTCTTTGTCTGGGGCTTTGTTTTGGAGTTCATGTTCATCTCTGGACCATGTCTCTTGTGCAGGCAAGGGTGGAGAAGACAAACACAGAACCGAAAGAAACTTCCACTAACCAAGGCGAAGAGAAGGAAGAAAACAAAGAGAAGGAGGAATCATCTTCCGCTCCACGTCGGAGGGTAAAACGAGACACTTGAAATTGATTGAAGATTGACAGGGGCGGCCGATTAAGATCAACACCACATATAAATTTTGAGCTTTAGTTGACATTAGGTCAATTTCCATAGCACTTTGTTTTCATTTTTCTCCTTCACCTTTTGAAAGATGATATGCATAAGGAGTGTAAATCAGATATTCCGTGTCGTGCTGGTCAATTTGGAGACTTGAGTATTTTAAGCTAATTGAGGTTGTACAATTATTTTTCTAATAAAGTAGCACAGGAGTCAATTCACCAAGCAACATACCCATGCTTAAATTTGAACCCCGATTTAAGTATATGCGTCAATCGATATAATGAAATTAAATGAATAGGTGGCCGTCCTCATTTGATCTTTAGTGCATGAAACTTTAGTGCTATGTATGATGTAAATCATAGGTTTACGCTATGTATGAATCTTTAGTGCAGTTGGTGCATCCTTCGCCCATTATTCTTTTTGTACCTGTTGTTTATTATCTTTTCTAGTGTATTGTTTTTTAAATAACCAGATTTTTTGTTTAGATTAATAAATAACCAGTTCTAAAGTTGGTTCCGTCAGTTTATTTTTAAGTAACTATTTTCCCCCATTGCCTAGCTTCGTATTAGCTTGTGAAATGGTAAGGGGACGGCGGAAGGGTATGACTTTAGTGGCCATCCTAGACCGACAACTAATACAATCAAGATTAGATAAAACAAGCTCTCTCTTTTCTTTTTCTTTTTTTTCTCACAACAATGCTAACCTAGTGCCTGTTTGGATCCTCTCTTTTTTAAGCTAGAAGCTACTTATAAGTATAAGCTAGGCCAAATAGGTTTTGAAAAAAGCTCTTATAATGAAAAGCTCTTTTTTTATAATGAAGAAAAAAGCTGAAAATTAAAAGCTCCTAGGAGGAGCTTTTTTTTAAGCTCTTATATATTTTTCTTGAATTGTGTGCTTTTTTTTTAAATGAAGAGTGATAAAGATAGAGAGAGATAATTTTCTTGAAATATGTGCTTTTAAGTAATTTTTAAGCTAAACTTTTTATGTAATTTCCAAACAGCTTTTAGCTTCTTTTTTTAAGTTCTTTTTTTTAGCTTTAACTTATAAGTAGCTTCTAGCTTCCTGAACCAAACCGATAAAATGAAATTATTTTAAAATTAATAAAGATATATTTGTTTTTAATTTATTTAAAGTATATTATAATGTTAATTCACTAATGTTAGTTTTACTTGCTTACTAGATAATTTCATTATAAAGAAAAAAAATTCAAACAGTGTTGTGGAGTAATAAGTGAAACATGCATCAAGTAAAAGATTAGAGATCAAATCCAAAAGAATACAAATATTTAAAAACTTTCTTAGCGAAAATTTTCCTTAAGAATGTGAGTTTAAATGAAGAAAGAGTGGGTAAATTTCGATAAACAAAAAATTAATCACGGATGATATTAAGAAAATTAAAAAAAATTCAATTTTGTAAGATAAAATAAATAATAAATAAGAAAATATTATAGAAATTTTTTCTATAAATTTAGTAGTTGTTAAATGAATACTGATAAATGTCAATAAACTTGATTAAGGATAATACTAAAAAAAATAAATAAGTAAAAAAAGAAGCAAGGAAGATATTATTATTAAAAAAATTCCGAAAATTTAGGATGTGAATGACAATTTTTTCCTAATATTTTTTTTATTAAATATATATCGCAGTATATGTTATTGGATAAGATATGCATTATTTATTAAATACACATTTAGGAATAGAAATAAATTATATTATAAAGATAATTATAAAATAATATCAAGTGAGAGTCTTAATTTGATTTTGATCAATTGGTAGTAAAAAATAGTAAATATAACACATCCCATAAAATTAATATAAAACATAAACATTGAATTAAAGTTGAAGTTTCTTTAATCCACTTTATCCTTTTAAATATAATAAAATATTATCATTTATTAAATTATTAAAGTATCCACTTGTATTAAGGCATGAATTATAAAATAAGTCTTCTTACTTAAAAAACAAAGAACTAAAAACACATAAATTAGAAGTACACTAACAGAATCAAAATCGCAAAGAATTTGAGTAGATTCTTATTCAATAAAAGCAATAAAAAAAAAACAAAACAAAACAAAAGAATAAACCAACATAATATAACAAGAGAACGAAACAGTAGCAACCAAAGGCGAAACACCAACAGCCGGCAGCACGATTCTTCTCCTAAGGTTTCAGAAATGAATAGAAACTCGTCAGACGTCCGATCTTACAATGAGTAGAAACATATTTAAAATGGATCAATGAATAAATATAAAAATAAACTGAGTACATCACTTTATTTTGGGAAATTTACAATCTGCAAATTAATTCTCTAAAAATGTGTCATCGCATTCATTATTTAAAAATTTGCCACCAAATTAATCCTTTGAAAGATCTAAAATATTATCCCATTCGTCTTATCGAAGATTAAAAAGTGATACAAAATGTAATAACTATTTTGTATTTTGGAAAGATTAATTGAAGGGTTTAATGTTTTTGCTTTTAAATGTAGAATTTTTTTTTTTCACATTCACATAAAAGTGATTGGGTTCTTTTTCTCTTTTCTTTATAACAACTTTATGTAAACATGACAGAAAAAAAAATTCTGAAACAAAAACAGAAACTTTTTTTTTTCCTTAATTAAATTATAAAAATATAAATATTTAGAAAATATTTTTATAATACATCATTTTTAAAAATTAATTTAATGATTTTTTATTATTCTTTCCCCGTGCCAAAAGCGTCATGATTGCCTAAAGTATCATCTTTACGGGATCTAAATGAATTGCTGAAAAAATGTACATGATAATAATTATGTTCTGTGACACTGTTTTTGGAAAAATATTTTTTTATTTCTGTATTAAGGAGATCATGAAAAAAAATATTTGATAACACAATTTCATTTCTATTTCCACTAAGACAAAATATGTATATAATAAATAATATATTTAATTAATAGTATATATGTATGCATATGAAAAAATATTATCAGGAAAAAATTTATTCTTTACTTCTATCAATTTGCATTCCTTTGCTACGGTTTATTTCCTGGAATATAAAATTAAATTGATTTTTATCAAATATTATTTTTAATTATTTCTTTCTCGGAGATTAGAAAAAAAAATTGAGAACATGATCATGCACACTATAGTGTTTAAATCTCGAAATCATAATAGCATGAAATCAATTTGATTGTAAAAATCAATTTCTCTGTTCAAAACCCATTATAATTTTTTTTGAATTAATTATAAATCAAATTCTATGTTTGAAATATCTTTAAAGTAAATTAAATTCATTTAAGCATTCATTTTATTACTCTTATTTTGAATATCTTAAAGGGATAGATTATTCTACCTACCCTTATTCTGCCTACATTTGCCTACCCCTTTCAACATCGTTAGATTACAATCTCATCCAACGGTGGATATTTGCCGAATAAAATAAATCTTTTTTCTTTTTTCTTTCTTCTCATTTCCTCCCACACCCTTTCTCATTCCTCCGCTTTCTCTCTGTCGAGGACCAAGACAGAAAATTCTTGTAACAAAAATCACTTCCTCCAACACGAAAAACACATACTCCATTAAAGAAAGAATGAAAAACACATACCATTGACGATTACCATTTGAAAAAAAAATCACTTCCTCCAAAACTTCATTGTCACAACTCTATCTCTATGCTTGCGATTTATATTGTAAGAGAAAAATAAAATTATCCAATTAGGAATCGCTCTGAAAAATCATACATAGCCCATACTTGATTTTCACGAAAAAAATCTTTCAGTTCGATCCTTGTAAAAATCATGTAAATCAGGATCAGGGACATCTATTTGCATAGTTGCAAATGACTTGAGGGCTTGCGTCCGTGAATATCCAACTAGAGAATATCTAGGATCTCAGAAAACCTAGAGCACTTAGAGAAAAGCTTTAATCTCTTCCAATTCCAACTCAATCCAATTAGGAATTGCGATTTATATTGTAGTCAAAACTGAAAAATCATAAAAATATTCATAAAAACAATCTAATTAGGAATCACTGTTGATAATATTAAGATATTTGTTTTTTATTTAAAAAGAAATGTTTATGAATATGGGAAGGGGGAAATAGTCTTATTTTTTCCAAATGATAGTCATTAATGGTATGTGTATTTCGTTCTTTTTTTGATGGAGTATGTGTTTTTTGTTTTGGAAAAAGAGATTTTGTTCCCTGAATTTTCTGTGAGAGAAAGGGTGTGGGAGGAAATGAGGAGAAAAAAAGAGAAAAAAGAGTTTATTTTATTTTACAAATATCCACTGTTGAATGAGATTATAATCTAATCATGTTGAAAGAAGAAGACAAAGATAGACAAAATAAGAGTAGGTGTAGAATAACATATCCCTATTTTAAATAGGTAAATTTGTATATATAAAATAGTAACTCAAATAATTACGCTCACATAAATGTGAGTAGATGTAAAAGGAAAAAAATTTCTACAGCAAAAGTAAAAACATTAAACTCATAATTAAATATCAAATATACTCAAATTCACCCCAAATTTAAATGAGTGTCTAAATTAGTTAATCAAAAGGATTTCAAAATTAAATCAGTTACTATTTTGCAACTTTACAAATAAAACAATTTCATTATAAATCAAATCACTTCTTAAAATGTATTGCTGTATACAGTCAAAGAGGCTGGGAGAGCTCCCAGCATAATCACTTGGGCTAAGCGATTTATCCACATAAAACGCAATCTACAACCGAATAGTATTCTACTTTTTGTTTTGGTGTGTTTTTGGTATTTATTTTATATTTTTTCCTTTTTTTAAAAATTAGAAGAAAAAAGAAAGTGGAGGAGAAAGAATATAAAAACACATCAACATAATATAATTTCATTAAAAATGACACAAAATTACGTCATTTAAAATGACAAATATTTTTTCTTTTTTAATTTGTATCCCGTTTTTTAAAATTTGTTCAGGAAATGGTGAAAACTGAAAAACAACTGTAGTATTCTTTAAAAACAAAAAATAAAAAACAAAATAAGAATAATATAACATTTTTGAAATTATCAATAAAAAAGAAAATAAAAATAAAAAGCATTTGGACAAACAAAACGAACCTTATGTTTTTCTCCGTTTGTTTTCTCCTACTATATATATATATATATATATATATATATATATATATATATATATATATATATGAAAAAATATTTCTTCAGTTGCCGGAGATAAAATTATCTCCAGTAAGCTCAAAACGACGTCGTTTTGATTATAAGATTAAAAAATTATAATTATAAAAACTAATATAACTCTACAATATATTATAATTATAAAAATATCTTGATTTCAATCCCAAAACGATATCGTTTTAGACTCACCGGAGATAACTTATCTCCATTGACTGAAGAAATCATTTACCCATATATATCCCTTTACACACACACACACTTACGTAGCATCATTTTGGGTTTGTTTGATATGGGATTAATCTGGTAGTTCAATTAGTTTATTATGTTTTTCTGTGGTCAGTATATTTGTATACCACGATAATCATCAATAACGAAATTCACCTAAACCAAGACCAACCGCGGAAAGGGAAAAGGGAAAAGCAATTTCTTAAAAGGATTTGGTTTTCATTTTCATTGGCAATGTAAAACTATTTTATACTGTTATCCATTCATGTTTGCTGTGTTAATAAAAGAGTTTTGACTATATAACAACTCCATGCAACGTTAAACTCTTTACGACATAGCAAGACATGACAGAATGATTATGTAAACAAATTTTACACCGAAATCCAATCAAACTTATAAAATATAAAACGACCAAAAAAATTCTCAGCTATGATAAAATAAATTATAAAACAATATCTCCGCAGTCCCCAAGATATTAAAAAAACGAAAAGAACCTGCCGCATGCACCTATTATTTTAACATCTGTATAAAAAATTGTCCCCTGAACCTAAAAACAAAATTTAAAACAAGAAAAAGTAAACAAAACAAAACTTACTAAGGATTACACACGGCATTTTCTTTTCCTCTCTAACTTGAAGTAAAATATTCATGCCTATAGCCTCACTGAAGATGTCTATAGTATAATTTACCTCCAGTCATAAAATTACCCTCACCTCCGGCCACCAGGCTTTCTTGCAGAAGGAGCAGTGTCCTCATCATCTGATTGGATATCTCCATACTGCCACATTCCACGCCTACTGGTCCGTGCTTCTCCCTGGAATTTCTCCAAATTATCAAGAGCCAGTTGCTTTTCTTTTCTGTCCCACTTGTTTCTTTTTTCTAGCCTAGCAAGTCCTTCCTGGAAAATATCACAAAGCAAACAAAATCAGCGAAGTGTGATCTAAGTATTACTGTATGCAGGTAATCAAAGAATATGCCTTTGAAATCAATTCAAACCAAAGATTGAGTAGCAATGAAAACCTGTAGCATGGCAGCATTAACACTGATCTCAGAATCCACAGCTACAAGGGTTACGGCTAGAACTGTCCCAGTTCCCTGCCCTTTCACTTTTCCTCCTGAAGTATCTTTCTCCTCAACCTTGGCCCTAAACTCTTTTCCACTGTTTAAAGTGAGTTCACTCAAATATTCAGCTGCCTCTTGGCCAAAATCCTCTTCCAAGTTTGGAACCTTCATGTGTGCAAGGCAGCACAATTGTGCAAGACCAGGAGCAGCAGATACAGATGGATCAAGAGGCCGTAACTGACTGTAAGGTACTTCTTCTTGATTTCCATAATCAATGTAGAATACTTCAAATCTGTCCTCAGGAGATTCAACTGGTCCCCGAGGTCCATTGACTATCTACACAATTCCAAACACCATTTCATAATGGAAAAAGAAATTGAGTGAAAACGGACAAGCTGATACAAGTATGAGCTTACTTAACTATTCACATTTCATCAACTCTATTCATGAAATTGCAAAAAGTGGTTACAACGAGCATGTGCACAAAATATTCGGCCATATAATGAAATAACTAATTAAATGCTCATTCTGGCAGGAAAAAAAATTGTCTAAAGGATTGTCTTCAAAATGAAATATTTAATGAGATGAAACCACTCAACAGTAATACTGTAGGTTTAAAACTCCACTAGATTGCTTTAATCAAGCAAAAAAATTATCCTAGGATATACAGAACATGCTAATGGCAAATCTGCATAAATGCTCACTAAGAAAACTGGAAAACAAATTAATAAAAAAGTAGGGGAAAAAAGACGCTTTGATAAAGAAAAAGATGCTTCTTACCCAACCCCCACCCCCCCCACAAAAAAAATGATGCTTGATCCATCACTTGATCATCAAGTGAAATGTTTCTCACTAATTAATGGCCACTTTTTTTCATCCATAGAATAGCAATGTCTTCTCAGTAGTATGTAAAGAACTTACCATTGCCCGGTACCAAGATTTATCTGCACCGAAATGACAAAGGACTGTGTCACCCTTCTTAGGATTGAAAGCTCCAAGCAGAGGAGCTTCTTGAAGGTTCAAAAATGCAAGCTGTTGTTGAATGGATGCAATCTTTTGATCACCAACGGTCTGGACATAGAATTTACCACCACCCAAGACTTCTGTAACCATTACCTAAGAACATATAACAATGGAACAAATCGTTCAGCATTTTTTCAACACAAAAAGAAAATGCCATTTATGCAACAATATCTTAAGCACCTTAAGCACTTCTTGCTGTTTTTTTTCGACAGTTGCACCAGTTGATACTTCCTCCCCTTCAACATAATTCTCCCATATCTGCAATACAAATCACTTTAGAACAATAAACAGGAAAATAACAGTGGTAATGTCAAGAATGGTTAGGGACCTCCTTCTTACTTTCAGCTTTTGCTTCTTGGCAGATTGCTCGGCTTGCTCCAGAAGGTGAAAATCAGGAATTCTGTCACTGCCAAAGGAGGTTTGAAGTTTTGCAAGACCAGCTTCAAGGAGTGTGAGTGCCACATTAGTCCTTGACTCCCACAAGGACCCCAAAAAAGTTCCGGTTCTATCAACAGTTTCCACCTCAATCTGAAAACATTAAAAAATACATTTAATTAACAAAAAGAAAGTAACATGGAGAAATCTCGAGCACAGAGGAACCCCTAATTACCTCAACATCTCTCTGCATTATCTTTCGCCTCATTATCGCAATTGCTTCATCAGAATATGGCTCATCACGACCAGGACATCTGACACCAGAGAATGAGAAAGCAATGCTGCAAGTTTCTTTTGGAATTAACAATTTAAAACGATGACCGCTGAGGACATATTCCACGACAGCAGGAATTTTTCTACTGCGGTGCAGGAAAGGCAAGAAATCTTTGGCTTTCTTTGCTGATGCCTAAAAGGAATCAAAAGGGGGGAAGAGTTAAAGGTTTAAGAATATTTCAGAGTAAAAGTAAAAGTTAGTATAATTATCATTTTTCTCACAATGGTCAAGTCAGTTATATGCATGACTGGAGAATCCTTGGCAGAATGGATCCCTTTCCTTCCAGAAATGGCACGTGATTCAGAAGCAAGAAGAGCGTCATAGTAATTTGATCTTTCTTCAAAGTCACGATGTCTAATGACAGTTCCAAAGCCACGGCCAACTACTAACTCAGCGACATTCGCCCCTGTTTGCTGACTTCCAGCAGGTGGAACAGATGAAGGGGCATCATCTCCGTCAGCCTTTGCAGCAGACAGTAAGAATACTGATCCAAAATCCATTGCTCTAGCTTCAGCAGCTCCTGATTGAGCTGCAGATCCATCTGCTGGACCAACCTTTCTAGAATACTCCATTTGAACATTCACCTGAAAACAGTTTAAATCAATTATAACTGTATTCACCAATGATATCAAAATAAACATCATATAATATTTTCATACTTGACGACCGATGAGGCGTGTTCTCAAGAACTCCTTTGCTTCACGAGCATACGGAGCTGGTTTTTCATCCCTACGAGGATTACCCATTTTCGGACACCTAATGCTTGAAAGGTTGACTCGCCTCTCCGCTAGCGGACTGCCATAAGGAATCGAATCATCGGCTACAATGACGCAATCTCCACTAACAACCTCAACCACCTGGAAAAAGTCAAGTCCAAATATTATACACTTATATGACAGGAGATTGCCTATTGGGAATAAACCAATGATTGGAGAAAATTTTACCTTTCCTGTGAAATTCTGATCATGAATTGCCTTTGAATTTGTAGGTGGTGGTACATAGTTAGTCCAAATCCTTAACCTGTTTTTCTTTGCCTGAAGCTCTGCAGTCTTCAGCTTCCGCTTTGCCTCTTCTTCCATCATGTTTGCACTCCATTCAACATATTTGGCAAAACCCTGTATGATTGACAAAAATAAAATGACAGATTTTCAGGCTAGTTTACGTGATATCATATCAGGTGAAGAGACATGGAGAAATATTCAAATCTCACTCTAGAAAACTATAACGCATATCACTTCAGCACAATACAATTTCCAAAGCTACAGGACAAGAAACCATTTGATGTTTCCTTTTTGATAGGCCACTATTTACTATGAACCCACAAAACCAGCAGGAATACTAAGCACAATGTTTCCTTGTCAAATCCATATAGTTGGTATGTAGTTAATAAAATACTCTTTCGAGGCTTAAATATGTATTATATAATGTTTATCATAATAAAGCCAATTACAGATAGGCCCCAACTTTGGACCCTCCTCAAATTAAGTACAATTCAAGAGGCTACAAGCTTGTTGCTGACTCGCATAAACCAATGTAGTAATGCTAAATACAACGTATTGCAGGAAATATTTAAAGTCCAACAAGAGTAGAATTAAACAAGCTAAACCATAGTAATATCACTACACAAGTGCAGCACTTACATTTTCCACGAGCTCCAATGCCAGGTCTTTTGCTGATTCACCATCAGGATAATACATTGACCCAATCAAATTGCTGAACTTATCAACACCTTCCAGGACAATTCGAACCTACATACCCACTTGGAATTTAGAAAACATGCAGAAATGTAAAAAGCAATATAAATTGCCAAAGCGGATTACCCACATCTCGATTCAATACTCTCATCTCAGTGAAAAATTTAGCTTCAGGTGCAAAAGGATCAGCAGCAGTTTGAGCAGATGCTGAAGCTGCGACTCTTTGGGCAGATGTAAGTGGTGCTCGGGATTCCCCAGGAACATCTCCATTAGTCTCATCAGCTGTCACCTCTGGTTCAACAACACTTTCAGGTGCAGCTCTCCTTCCCATTTGTGGGGCCTAATTTAAGGAAAAACAATTATTTGCATGCCTGAAAAATGGTAAAAGTAGCATCACATTTATGATACACACCTGAATTCCGGCAAGAAAAACTTGGACAAACTGAAACTCTGGGAGCAAATAGACGCGCAGGGTACTGCCATCACGAACCTGCTCAACAATTCCTTCCATGGGCCTGCCCTTGTTTGCGGCTAATAAACCCATAGCATCCAGGTTGCTAGGGTCACCGATGGCTGATGGTGGTAGACTTCTAATCGATGCCTCAGCAGCACCAGGAATCTGCAGTCAGCCACAAAATCATATATAGACCATTTTCAGTCACATTTAACACATCATCCTGCCTTGTAATTTTAAATGGAAGTGTATGAAGCTATTTTCATAATATATTGGATGACCAATGACAAAGCATAACCTCACTCTAATTAAATCTTATTTGAATGGCGACAAGAAAATACTCATTTACACAATACACAAGTGAACATTACGTATTTACAGGCAACGTTAACTAGGTCAATGTACGTAAGGTAACGCTTTACGTCAATGTACGTATTTACATGCAACATTAATTAGGTCAATGTGCATAACGTAACGCTTTATGTCAGCAAAGATGCCCCTCATAATCCGCATACGTTTCAAGTAAACCGAGTTGCCAACAAAGCAAGGGCCTGCACGTAATTTTTTTAAGATACGATTAAAGCACACCTTGTTCGTTGCAATTAAAGCACAACTTGTTCGTTGCAATTAAAGCACGCCTTGTTCGTTGCAACTAAAGCACAACTTGTTCACCAATGACAGTTTTTGAAATTGCTTTTTACGCTAGTTAATTTTCTAACGGTCCTACAATAAAAGATGAAAACTCAGCAACGAACCTTGCTCCAACGACCATGGCCTTCTTGTTTAGCTTGTTCTTCCAGTCGCAACAATTCTGCTAGGTATGGACTCGCTTCTCCTTTCTGTTGTCCCTGCTCTCTTACCTGCAGGAACAAAACCGCATTAATGCAATTCAACAATATAGAAATTATTCAAACAGGGCACATTCACACAGAAGCATGCGGTATTCAACCTTCGCCCATCCTCCAGAAGCAACCAGCATTGCAACATTCTTATCCCCAAGAAAAACAGTGCCAAAGTCACGATTTATGGACTGCACGTTGTAATCAACCCTAAAGGTCACCTCCTGTTCCAATAATATATCAGGTCAGAAAATTAGAATGCTTTTATCAGAAAGAAATAACACCAAACTACCAGAGTATGTAACCAAAACGGAAACTTTATTCAGCCCACCTTCCCTATGCTGAGCTTCCTTAGAAACTCTCTACTTTCCCACGCAAACGGCTCGTCTACACCACCTCTACGTGCCTAACAAAATTTTCAAACAGGGATCACCAAGGGAAATATCTCAGCAGTGGCAACCATGATTTCCAAATTAAATATCATATACCATAACACTGATACAACAGAGTATTGAAATTTTTTACAATATACAATTAAAAACAGGATAATTCGTGAGTTGAGTAAAATTACCAGTCTAGGAGCCATTAGAGATGATAAAGTGATAGTCTTTTCAGGCAAGGGACCAGGCTTAGCGGTGGCCATGGCCACAATGACCAAGCAATCACCTGAAGGAACAGCTTTCACTCTTCCTCTGTACCATCCCGTGGCTCCTGTCGCTGTTGATGCCATTTCCGATTTGCTATCCACACAAACATTCAAAAAAAATTAAAAAAAAAAGTAATTGAAACTCAATTTCAATCTATGCAGCTATAGATCCAGAAGCAGAAAACGTACATGCATTAACAAACGCAAGAAAAAAAAAAAGTGAATAGGACAAGTGCACGAAGGGGAAGTAGAATTGAGATCCGAAAATGGAAAAAGAAATTGAGCGCATGCAACAAAAAAATAGTGGAACGAATACTGAAATTGGAGATCTAAAAAAATAATAATAACATAACAACAATAATAATAGAAGAATCAACGAACCGATATGGAAGAAACACAGGATTCGGCGGCTGATCACGATTCAGCTTAGAGAGAGAGAGAGAAAGATGGTTTTTCTGATGTTATATAAATGGCACTGCCAACGCACACTGCTCTATTCTACAATTCGTGAGCGTTGTGTGTGTAGCCCTCCTTTTCTGGTCAAATTACGAAAAATGCCACTTTCAATCCAAACCCAACAGTGCATCCTCCTCTTCCCTGTCGTTAATAACCTCCTTCAATGCACTTGTATTTTTCTTTTCTTTTTCCTTTTTTTTTATTGAAGTCAAATTAAGCTTCTACACAAAACACAAGTAACTGTCTCACACTTTTTCATGGTTTTTTTAAGGTTACATTGGTGTTACCAATACCCATACTTCAAAGTGTTTGACACTTCTTGACACCCCTTTACAGGTTTTGAAATTTATAATATTTAAAATTTTATTATATATTATAAAAAAATTTATTGATATTTTATCAAATTGATATAATTTTTTAGAAGAAAAGTTATATTTATAACCTATTTTCGTTTACAATTTTTTACAATCAGATCTTAACCGTTGTTTTCTGTCATCAAAGATTGTCATTTATTGCGAATTAATAATTAATTAATAAATTTGATTTGCGAAAATCTAAACCGTTGATTGTCAGAAATCAACGGATAAAATATAATTGTAAGAAGTTGTAAACGAAAATAGGTTGTAAGTATAATATTCCATATTTTTTAGATATAAAGTAGAAAATGAACACATAACCTAATACAATCTACTTAGATCCTTCACCACTAAATCAATCCTAGTAGCTTATCAAATTGATATAATAAAAATTAAAAATGGATACTGAATAAATCTCATTGTAATGTATAAGAGATTTTTAATTTAAAAATATAATAGTAAATATTTATATCTCATTTTTTTTTTTTGCAAAATTAATTGATATTATAAATTTAGTTTTATTTTATTTTAAATTATTGAATATTAAATATAATATATATTTTTAATTAATATCCAAATGTATCCTAATATATCTTTAAATTAACATATCAGAATATCGTGTCATATCTCGTGTTCCGTGTTGATATTGGTGTAACATCATTACCACCTGTCATCATAAATTGTAGGTCTATGATTCATACTATCCTATTCCTAGCAAATTTTGGAGTTTTATGCTGTTTGTTATTTAAAAAATAAAATAAGAGAGTAAGTAACTAAGGGGAAAATTACTCTTATATTACGTGATAAATTTATCTCCTACACACTCTTTGATAATTGTGTCACCTTTTTTTTTTCAGATGGTGGAGCCCACAAATTTATCTCTATAACATGAGATAACATATCTCTAGGGGTGTAAATGGGCCAGGCTGGCCCAGCCCGGCTTACATTAAGTCTGGCTTGGCCCGGCCTTTCAGAAAAGTAGAGTAGGCTTAGGCTTTTAAGAAAGCTTTTTTAACAAATAGGCCGTAGGCCAATTTTGTCAAGCCTGGCCCAAAGCCTTGTAGGCTGGCCTATTTAATTTATTAAAAATAAAATAATAAAATAATATTTATTTTATGTGGCATGACAAAGTACCAATACCAACCCTAATTTTTAGATGAATGACATTCTCTTGTAGACTTTATTTCAGCACCCAATAACTGTGTTTTTCTTATTTTCCTCATTTCTTTGACTCTATTCCTCTATGATATACATTCTAAAGCTGGGGTATTATGTTGACTCTTTCTAGTTTCTTATTTTTTTCTTATGAGAAGTACTAGTGCATTCATGAATGAAACTTTCTTTGCTCTGTATAATTATTTTCTTTGCTTAGTATCTACAGTGATAGGCCTACAAGGCCTGTAGGCCATGTCGGGCTTTCTTATTTTTAAAAATAGGTCAGGCTTGACGTACAAATAAAGCCTTTGATAGACAAGTAGGCCAAACAGGCTGAATTTTTTTTTACGTAGGCTTGGGCCAGGAAAGCCAAAGCCTAGTCCAGCCCAGCTCATTTACACCCCTACATATCTCCCTTAACATGCTATTAATAAAATCCATTAACTAAATCTCTATGTAGCTAGAGCTGGCAAAATGGGCCGAGCCTGCTGGGCCGGCCCGCCCCGCCCGCCAAACGGGGCGAGGCGGGCTGAGTTTTCTAAACCCGCTGTCCGCCAAGCCCGCCAGCCCGCTCGGGCTGATTTTTTTTTTTAATTTTTAGTGTAAAATGTGACGGGCTTGGCGGGCAACCCGCTCCGCCCGCCCAAACAAGACGGGGCGGGCAAAGATATCTAGCCCACCTTCAATGGCGGGGCGGGGCGGGCTTTTGGCGAGCAGGGGCGGGGCGGGGCGGGCAGCCCGCTTTGCCACCTCTATATGTAGCTATGTACCATATGTAAAATAACTAGTCGTTGACCTAGATTTTCCAACATGAGGCTCGCCTAGTAAAAGAACTCGTATGAAACAAGATAGAATTGGCTTAAATATTATCTGTATGGTTACCTCAACGGTTCAGACTTCTTTTCTCTTTTTGAACTATCAGGTTCCGTTTCTCTTTTTGAACTATCAGACTCCTTTTCTCTTTTCGAACTATCAGACTCCTTTTCGCTGGTCTCCATAGTTGACGATAGTGCTTTGTCGTCCTTGAACTGAAGGGCTGCGGAGACACCAACGTACGAGTTAGTAATGCATTACGATAAAATATGATATCTAAGGTATTGTCAAATATTGTCGTAACCCTAAACCCTATAGAATTTTGAAAATGTGATGTTAGCAATTAGTCGAAATCAATCAATCATTCCATAATTCATATAGATTTAAAAATTGAGACAATACCATTTTGGTAATCCATAACAAAAAAAATGGAGAAATTGAACAAGGTTCAATTGAGTGTTGACTCAGTGGAATAAATCTTCTTCTCGCTAATTGAAAACCGTTGAGGGGGCGTTTGGTTGAGGAGAAATTTTTTGAATATTAAGAAAAAGTAATTGATAAGAAAATGGTTGAAAAGTGAGTTTGGTAGAAAGATGTAAAAAAAGTTGTTTGGTTCGACAAAAGTTTACCGGGGAAATTGGGTTAAATTTTCTGAGTGTATGTTTGGTTGAAGATATAATATTGATGGAAAAATTGTTTGAAAATACTAAAATACCCTTTCTTTTTTTACTGTTTTTAAAAGTGTTTACCGTTGTGTGCATTGCGTGTTGCACATTTCTACCAACGACAAATAAAAAGGTTTTCATTTCTCTGTAATTAGGGGTGAAAGTAGGTTGGGCTGGGCCAAGCTTTGCTCCGAAAAGCCCAAGCCTACGTCAAAAAATTTCAATTTGGCCTAGCCCAAGCCTTGTATGAGTCTAACTGTTAGCCTGGTTTGGCCCGTTTATAAAAAAACAAATGGCCTGACTTGGCCCGTTAGCCTGTTAATTTTTAACTTCCAAGCAGAACTATGAATCAACTTTATAAAGTACTCAAATTATGTTGCTACACCAAAAATCATAATTTCAACGTCTAAACAGAATCATGAATCATAACAAGACTAATAGAATATGCATTTAAGTCATTTTCAAAAGCAAAATGCTCAAACTAAATAACATATATTTCATCAGATCCAACAAACAAAATCATACTATGTAAATTAAAATAACTACATGAATCCAACAAACAAACACATCATGACTATAATCCTCTCCTCCTCTCATTTCGTTGGTCGGGATAAAAAGGTTGTCACCCCAGTTGAGTTTGTTAACCATTTCTGGTGGCAGTTGTGAGGTCCATTTTTTGAATCATATTGGTAATGCCCAATGTATCACTGTGTCCAGAACACCATGCTGTGAAGCACCAAATGCTCCAACAGCAATGGAATCACGATAATACTGTGGTGCATACCCAGTTGCACCAACAGAGAGTGAAATCATGTGGACCCCATCAGCAACAGCTTCATCCATAGCAGCAAGAATATCAGAATCAAAACAACCAAGCTTCCAACAGATCTTGTACGCAGCAATTCTAGCCTTTGAGGCCATTCCTCTTGCTTCACCTTGAGCAAAGTTGAACAAACTAGCGTTTGCAACAACAGATCCTGCAGCAGTTGAAGCAGTGTGTGTTCCATGGCCTTCAGTGTCTCTCGGAGACTTAGATTCCACAGACTCATCAATGGGTCTCTCGATATATGATTCATAGCCTTTGAAGAACGATTTGGCTCCGATTATCTTTTTGTTACACGCAGAACCAGGGAAGTCATGAACCTTTTCACAACTACCTTTCCAAGAAGAGGGTACGTCGGAGATACCCTCGTCTGAGAAGCTCTGTTAGGCATTTTAAAACCATCATATGCATCTGTCTTTCTTCTCTATTGGGTATTTTCGTCTGGCTCATTTTTGCAAATTGCAACTTACCTTGCTTTCTGCACAAAACCACCCCCAACTTGGCTTTGCAAACAGTGTCAATTCCTGGCTATTTGGACCAAATGGGGGAATGGTATGCATTTGTTATTGCTGGGGAACTTGGCTGAATCCCTCTACCAAACAGGGACTTTCTAGAAAACCATGTTCATTTGCATGGGGAAATTTTTGGTTCCCCTGAACCAAACACCACCTGAAGAATGTACGTGTATGATAAAGGACAAGAGAGGCGAGTTATTGATATAACCTTACATGGAAATCCTAATCGGCTTGTATCTTATTTGTTATTCACAAGAAAAAAGAATACCTAGTTTGGATGGGCTTTTAAAAAATGGAGGTTTTTTAAAAGTTAAAACTATTTTATATTTGAATCGAATATATAAAAAATATTTTTAAATAAAATATTATTTGGATATCAAAATTAATAAGCACTTTTCATATATAAAATTATTAAAAGGGAGGTTGGGATAAAATTGAATTTTTAAAAAATTATTTTACTTCTGGTTTCTATTTTTATTTTTTCATAAGTAAGGAATCCTGATTTCTTAAAAAAGTAAAAGTATTATTTTAATTATTTTTTAAATTCTATTTTTTTTAAAGTTGCTACAAATGCATAAAATGATTCTAAAGAGATTTTTTTAGAAAAAAAATATCCAAACGCGCACTTAGTATTGACTTGATAAAATAATTTTTCTTCTCAAAC